ATAATGATAATGTCCTATGCTACAGGCGTCAATTCAGCTTAGTGGGAGCTGTGGCTCCATGGCTCCACATATGTTGCAGTCTAATAAGCATTAAATTTGTGTTTGTATACGATTTAGCAAGCTATATTCAAACATTTCCGGGACCAAGAAAAATATGCTAATGCACTACCTTCACATCATCTCCTCATAGCGTGTACTTCATTATGATGATACTGACATGTGTGCTTTAATGTTATCTCACATTACAACACATTATAAGATACTCTCTAAATGCTAGTCAACATTGCTTGTAGACCTATGATGTGCGCACAACTATACTTACAAAAGCTCATTGATTCAACTTGCAACGCTTGACTCAAAGCAAAAAAAAAATGGAGCATAGGCAATTACTTGCCAACTGATTTGCATGTACTGATGTACAAGGTGTGGTATATGCCGCATTTCGGGCTACCGGGGCGTTGAGTGCCTTAATTAGAAATACTAACAATTACATAAGCCTGACTTGTTAGGTGCATCGAAAACACTTTGCATGCGATTGCAGGATGAAACTTCTGACCTTTATCGCCAGAAATGTGCGTATTTTCGGTACGTTTAACGTTTCATTTCAGGATGTGTCAGTTATAGCATATCCAATAGTGCATGAAAATAGTTAACTGATTGGAGTTTTCAATTGAAGTAAAGCAGAAATGATAGCTGAGATAGTTCTTGAAAAAAAACAATATAACATAAAAGTCTAAAAAGCATTAAAAAGTAAGGCAGCTTCGCACTAAAGGTGCGAAGTCTGAAGGAAGTGTGCAGCTGTGAAGCCTTTGTCTCTCTTTTGTTTTCTCTTTATTTCCTCCTCCTATAACGTTCATTTTCACTTTTTCCAGTTTTTTTTCTGTTTTTTCTTGTGTCGGGGCCGGTCATGTAATCTGCTGCCATATGTCATCTTGTGTCGTCGTCTGGCGTCACTCGCGCCTCTCAGACAAAATCATACAAAATCATATATAGCATAGCCATGTGTAGTAAGTATAAGCTAGTGAATGATAAGTTTGAGGGTGAGGTGGGCAAAGAACAGCCGTGTGTCACATGACACCACGCAGGCAAACCATGTGTATAGTAGCCATGTATGAGTATAGCAGACAAAACCATGTGTACAGCCACGCATGGGTACAGCAGGCAAAACCATGTGTATAGTAACCATGTATGGGTATATCAGGCAGAACCATGTGCATAGTCGCCATGTATATATGGGTATAACAGGCAGAATCATGTGTATAGTAGCCATGTATGGGTATAGCAAGGGGCGGGAAAAGGAAGTGGGGATGAGGCGTGTGTGGTTGAAGTGGAGAGAAAAGGTCAGGGGAGGAGATGATGAAGCACAGCACAGCATGTATATTACGGCATATGAAAAGCGCTGCGTGAATTGGCAAATCGTTTTAGCTGGCGACAGTGGAATGTGCTTAGCTGGAGGGATACGTCTGGGGTGAAATCGTTCAGTGGACAGAGGGTATCAAAGTTGGGGTAATATCGCAGGCGATGTTTTTTTAGATGCGAAGAAGCTTTTTGATTCAAGTGTGTAATGCAGTACGTGTGCGTCTGTACGAACGTGTCCCAGCGCGTTCTCTTCACCGCAGGTGTTGGAGCGGTGCCAAGTTGGTCACGCCGCAGCTGCGCGTTGATGCCACGCTTCTCTCGCAGGTGCGCGCTGACGTCACTCTCCCTCACCCGCAGCACGCTCGCCGCAGCGCCTGCAGCTCCCGCTTCTCTGCCCGCTCGCAACATACTTCCTTCTCACTTCACCCTCTCGACCGCCGGCAACGCTCGACCGCATTTAGAGTGGAAACGCTTTTTCAGCTCGTTTATCTGTGATGACACACGAAACCCAACCCGCTTCCCGTGTCTTCGCGTTTCAAACAAACGTTTACTCGAGTTAACGCTACACCGAGGTTCGCTTCAAACCGTTCGTCCAGCGCCCGCGTCGGCGCCCGTTTCAACCGGGGCCAACGCCGTGCGCACCGTTGTTGCTTCGCATCTCATCATCATTCCTTCGGGGAGATGGTGCAAGGTCCATAATATTTTCGCATAAACCAAGCCTTCATTTAATCACGGAAAGGCGACTTGAGGAGGTCGCAAGATAGGTCCAATTCTGGAGATTGCGTAATACAGTCGTGTGCTAAAATTTTGGAGATATTCAAGAACCGATGAAGCGATGTTTATGGTTAAAGATATTAACTATTAGCTTGAACACCAACACGGGCACATTGTACTTGAAAGAAAACGTGTTTTTTTTTGTTCGCAGACAGCATAATTGTAAAGGTGGTAGTGCTTGCAACATTCATTTTACGTGCTTTGTCTTGCAATTTTCCGAGATATATCGATTGACATCTACATTGTCTGCGCAAGCAGCGTTTAAAACGAGACAGCGGACACCATAGTCCACTCAGCCAGGCGCCTCTTTCTATCACCCCGCTCCCGTCTCTCTAGGGGTTTGCAGGCGCTTTACAGTCACACAGGGGACATTCATCCTAGTTTAGGTGCTTCGTTTCGCGATGACCGTCAGCGCCGGAGTCGGTGCTCTTCGGATTTCAAAACTTTCGCCTGTCCCCTGGTACGGGCACCGTGGGGACGACCTTCTTTACTGTATATGGCGTTCGCTTGCTTGCCGTGATTGTGAGTAATGACTCGCCTAGTAACAACGCTTCTTTCGTCTAAAAACTTCTCTCTAACAAAGCCTGGGGCACTTGCGTGCCTATAGTTAGAGGCCATATCGAGCTGAGTCGTGTTTTGCTCCTGACGTTGCTGTGTGGAGAAATTTACCTTTTTTTTCGTAGTTCAAGGAGCTTCTGTGCGCACCGGCATAGGTAGCGTTACTGTATAATACCGAGAAAAGAACGCTTTTACGCTGAGCATGGGCCTCGCCCCGTGCGCACACCTTTGCTGACTGGGTGTGCAAGTTAGCGTGGGAAAATATGAAGGACGCTGGAGCTTTGCCTTAATACTGAGAGCAGATTGCTGTAGCGTAATCGGGCCCCGTTAGCATAGACTTCCCAATCGCTAGCCTCAGTGGGCGCGTCAACTGTGTCGTAAGGAATGGAAAGCATGTGCAAATTGCATTGGCCGTTCCAATTTAAAATTCCGGCTGCAACTACTGTTGGGACTTGACCTCTGCGCCCTAACTCCTCATTTTGCAAATTAGCGAGCGACCCAGTAGCTAAAAACGTAGGTGTCAGTCACCATGCTCACCCACGCAGCTGTTCGCTTTGTCGGTGATCTTTCTGCTGCCGATGATTAGTTATGCCTGAGTATCTTGTGGGTGTCCCTTGAAAACCCACTCATCGATCACTCCAGATTACGACGCCTGGTGCGATCTTCACTTCAGCCACCCAACATTCCAAGCGTCTAGAAACTTCCTAGGAATGTGTTACATTTGTATAGGTTTTTTTTTCAAAGATGGTTGCAATTATTGTAGTGGTTCGATGGTAGAACACCTGCTTGCAACGCAGAACGCCAGGGCTAGATTTTTAGCCAAAGCGTCCACTTTTATTATTTTATTTACTTTTCCATATCTCAGATTTTCGCCTCACGGACAACGCTGATTTTTCGCTTACTACCAACGACACCGACGCCAATTACGGAATTTCCACGAAACGAGCTATTTACGATCCCATATTATACGCCTAGATGTACCGTTCAATGAGATCGTGCTGTGAGGGAGGGTATACGCACATCCGAGGTGGTATTACTGGTGCATGTTCGTATTAATGGTCAGTAGAGAATTCTGCGACATATCTGTGTCGGTTGAATAGGCGCGTCGCAATCTACACTCGGCTCGGCAGCTAAGAACTCGGGTGAGCGTGTGTGCACCTGAGCGTTTCCGCTCAGTGTCCAATATCTAACCAGACGTCAGGTTGTCCAATGGCTGTCCTATGAGAAGCAGCACACACGCAGCTTCCCACACAGCAGAATATTTTTCAGGACGGATAACGCGAATGTGACAACCTTCCTCATCGCCACTCACTTTCGTAAGTATGGCCTAGACTTGCACGCACTTTACGACACAAACAACACAAACAGCCCAGAGTCGTGGGGGTCCCTACTGCGCGTCTCCGAGCCAAAAGACCTACTCTGGCTCATCCAGCTCACAGTGGACGCTGTGGTAGAATCTAACGGTTCCTGTCGACTGCTTCCAAGTCAGCACGACCAGTTTTCGTACCGGTCCTCTCTTTTTTGGGAGACCACCACACATGCACTCAGTATACACAAAAATACAGACTATGTCGAATGAACAGTAGTCGTCTGAATTATGTGGGGTAGCATTGTGCGGGTATAGGATAGCGTCTTTCACCTTGCGCGCAATGTAAAAGACGGCACAGCGCGCCTAATTTACAGCTAAAACCTGTTTTGCATTCCAAATACTGTTTTGATGCCTCTTTTAGCTTTACATCTTGAGCTACGCGTTTGTCGACTATGGTATAGTCCCGCATGCGTATCCCTTCATAATGAACCTGTTCAACGTTTGTACCCGACACTGATATGTATATTTTATGATCAGCAAATCCTGTACAATGTCCACGTAGTCCGAACAGTGTTCTTTCATGGAACACAAGGTCAATCAGAAAGGGGTTTGTTTGCTTCGATACTGTCACCATAACAAAGTTCCTTCAGGGTCATGCCAATGCACGACTGTGTGGCTGAAATAACACACTTTTGCAAAGAGAAATATGCAGTTATGCAAACAGTGCTATGTTATAGCAATGCCATTCATTAAAAAACTTGCACAGCACCGCATAATAATGTAAAGGGGTGCCGGTGCCCAATGACTCGCATTTACGTATACACGAGAAGAAAATGTTCGTGAACCATAGAAGCCATAAAACAGATAAAAAGCAGGCTAGTCGAATACACATGCGCTGAAAAATAATTAACGGAAGGAAAAACTCAAGCACGCTATAGTTCGTGGTATGGAAGGGACTGGCTATATAATAGCCGGAAACCGTACGCGCCGTCCTCTTTCGCTACACCGGCACCTTGTCGTTAGCCTTGTCGGGATCCTTGACTGTCGACTTATCGTCGGAAGGTCTTTCGGGCAACTTGATGAGGCCGGCCTCCTGCATGGCAACCTGGCCTTCTTCGAGCGTCATGTAGTACGCCTCGTAGATGGCCGTGATGCTGTGTATCTGGTCCTGCAATATGACCGACGTGATGAGCATGAACAGCAGAAGCATGTTGAGCACCATGCCGACGCCGACGAACACGACGAGGTTGTCCATGACGTACGTGAGCGCAGCGTCGGCGCAACTGCGCGTGTAGACGCGCCGCCAGGCCTCCTGGTCGTCCATGAGCAGCACGCCGTGGCCGCAGAAGCGCCCAACCGGCATCGACACTTCGGACGTCTCGTTGTCGCCCAGCACACGGCGCCGGCAGCAGGAGAAAGGAACCGAGCAGCGCTCGCGGCTCGGGTTGCCGGACGCGCAGTGGAAGTACTCGTTGAGGTTCCAGTCTCGGAACGCGTCCTCGGAGAAGCCGCAGCAGCGCATCGACGCCTGGAGCGCGTCTATCATGTGCTGGAAGTACTCGGTCTCCCGGTAGCTCTGGATGAACTCGACGAACGCGGTCTGCCTGAGGTGGTTCCGCGCCGACTGCGGCATCACCGTGCCCGCCACAGCCGCGACGCTGTTGAGCAGGATCGTGAGGGCCAGCAGGCTCTGGTAGGCCTCGAGCACGGTGATGTTTTCCCGAAGCGCGCCCACCAGGCCGAAGGCGGCGACCACGGACAAGGACACGCTGAGCACGAGTATGAAGACGTCGAGGTGCATGAATAATGTGTAGAGGAAGGACTTGCGCATCACGTTGTTGAGCAGGTTCCCCCTCTCCGAGGATGGTCGCACCGCGTACGAGTAGGTGGCGCACCAGAGAGCGACCAGCGACAGCAGCATAATGACCAGATTGACGACCACGACGATGCCGCGAGTCCTGATCTCGGTGTGGATACGGGTGGTCGTCGAGAGACTCTCCTTGCGTTCCGCTTGGGGTTGCTTCGCTGACAGCGCCGAAGGTTCCGTGTGTCGCGTTAACGTCTGCGTATACTGCGAGGTTGGTGATGCTGTAGCCACTTGGACGTCTTGTTTTGCTTTGTCGCCTTGGACGTCCTTGCCCTTCGCCATTTTTCTTCTTCTTCATCTTCCTCAACCGAAGGTGACAGGATTGCTCGTTACGTTTCTACGTTCTTGGTTTGACTCTAGATGTAGACACTTTGATTTAGGGGCACACACCCGCTTTTAGGGGATGGCCCACAAATATACATGGTTATGCTTTAGGGTTATTATAGGGTCCTTCTAAGATTGGTCATTGCTTCCGACTAAAGTGATGTAACTCAATAATCTATAATTTAAGATTGCGGCTTGTTTTGAAGCCGTACAAAATATAAGTAGTTTCTGTATAACTATCACTCCATTACGTAAATTCAAGCGAAACAGGCGTTCGTTTGTGCGCGAAATGTACACGAAAGGGATCCTTATGCGAAATGACAATCATGACATGGAAGTCGTGTATGGCCTAATTTACCTCCGCTTTGTAATGTTGTGCTGATTTTAAAGTGACATATCAACCATCCTCAATCGTGCTTCGCATGTCATTGATTCCCACTGCACGTGGGATATGCCAATTTTTTTTATATAGATCTTACCCCTGGCAGCGTCGTCTCCGTAGCGCATTGATGATGGCATGAAAAATAACAGTGTACGTCCATTTGACCCGTGCTGCCCGAGCTCAAGGCATCATGGACTAAGGGGTGGTAATGGTTAGGAGAAGAACAAGGTGCCTGCCTAATTTCTGCAGCCTGGTAGGAATCACGGTGCAGCGCCCGGGACTAAGGGCGCCTCCCCTTTGTTACCTTTTAAATAAAGATGCTTATTCTTTCTCTCTCTCTCTATCTCCATCTCTCTCACGTGGGACAAAGTGGTCGCGCAAGCTTGGCTACAAGTGGCAATGCTAGGGAAAGCCAGACGGGAAGGCTTGTCATGAAGGAGCGGCAGTTGTGCTTTGACTTAAAGGTAAAAAAAAAATACGGCAGAAATCCCCTTGTGTAACATTGTTCGTGCAAAACCAAGGAAGAAGTTCAGGGAAGGATGGAAGCATGTGCATCGACACTAAAGCTTGCATAGAGCTTCGAGAAAGCTGCAGTATACAGATGACGTTTTGTATCACTTCTTCTGTCCCGTGGTTCACTCACATATTTCCGAAGCGCAGTATAGCTTTAAGGGACTATAAAGCGAACGTACAAATCAGTGCAGCTTGAATTGTTGGAATAACTTTAGTTTTAGAACGTCGCCCTCTTTATTTCACTTATCATTGATCCGTTATAAGGAGAGAAAACGGTGGTCAAGGATTTACGTCTGTATTTCGCCCCCTGAACTAAAGCAGCTTAGTTTTATATAGAATAGGTGGCACCTTAATTTCAGATTGACCACTCCGTATCGTTCATGCCCCACCAACGATCTGACACGTACGGCGACGATGCAGGAGACTGTGAGAGGCACTCGTTCTCCGCGCACACATGCGGTGGCGAGCACGAGCCGCCGCGGTCCTCCACGCCCATGCACTGCTCCGCTTCGCCCAATCCCTCCCCCTCCCCCCGGAGACAATCCAGAAGACAATCCAGACAATCGTACAGAAGACAATCGTCCAGAAGACAATCCAGACAATCCAGCGCTCGTGTTGTCCTCTTTGCCTTCCGTACCTCGACTTTCGTCTGTTTCTTCTAGCACATTCGTGCTCGCGCTGCAACCCTTATTATCATGAATTCTAACCAACTAGCCCAAATCGCCATTCTTCTACAATCCAGAAGACTGAGAGAGGCACCAAGGTCTGTTGAAGTAGGTCGCGAAAGTTCGGGTGAAAGACGGTCCAGAAGCTATTACCAGCGACATCTGCATTGGAAGTTCTGGGAGCTGCGATTGAAGCGCGATTATGTGTGGAAAGAATAAACAGTAGCAGGGAAAAAACGACGTTTTATTCAAAGTCGAATCAATCACTATGTTTCACAAATGGCATTTCTTTCCTCCAGAGATATTATGTAGGTGTAATGACAGTTGTTTTTGTTAATACTAAAAAAAGTTTTTCTAGCGCTCCCTGCCAACGCTAGTATTACTCAGTACAGCCCTTGCTCTTCATAGAAAGGCATGCTCATAAAATGTGCTTTTAAAACGAGCGTTAAAAAAGTTGATACAAACGAGCGTTAAAAAGTTGATAAAAAGTTCGTTGTTAGAACAGCGTCAGTATAGTCACCACACACAAGATAACCAATTGAACTGCTTCCTTGTCTAGTTTTACCACGACGGTGGCTTCTATACGGCGCGGCGTCTCAAAAGCTGGAGATCCTTGAATGGACGTCATACAAGCGCGATTCGCAGCGCCGCCATTGGTCACACACTAGGCCAATAGGTGATTTTACTTGCTGCTTGGGGTCTGCTCATTCTTTTTTTTTTTTTTGAGCGAAGCTCCTCTTAGTCACATTGGCGCTTGCTAGGCGTAACCGCCACTATCTCTCGAACAGTAAATAAATGGCGCTGTCTCATAGAAGTGCATACAAACTGCAGTTGAGTGAGGATATTCTAGATGGTGCTGTATTCCTACTCTCCGATTGGCTGCTGCGTGGGCTGTACCCGCAGGTGCTCGCGGAACGAGTGCCTCTCTCAGTTTTCTGGATCGTCGTGGTACGTGTCGGATCGTTGGTAGGGCATGGACGAAGCGGAGCAGCGGCGGCTCGTGGTCGTGCAGACAGACAGACAGACAGACAGACAGACAGACAGACAGACAGACAGACAGACAGACAGACAGACAGACAGACAGACAGACAGACAGACGGACAGACAGACAGACAGACAGACGGTAGCACGCACCGACGGACGGATGGACGGACGAACGCACGGGCGGAGGTAAGAGGAAAAAGGAAAGAAAGAGAAAGAGGGAGGAACAATGAGGAATGACTTAGGTATCGTACATTGAGTCATCACTGCACACACTGTCCCGTGCGGGTTGAGCGTACCGAGCACATCGAATCCTTGAAAAACGTTCGCATGAGCCAGTCGTTTCACCAAACGGCAGTTTGTCACTCTCCGGAAGAGAAAACGAAACAACACGAAACAAATATGGTTTAACGCCACGGCTCCCTTCTCAGAATGAACCGACGGACGACGCACACTTGCTAATTATTCAGCGTTTGCCGTTACCGAAACGTAATAACCAAAACAACACATTCAGCGCGATATTAGCTGCGATAAAGCTCATTGCGTGAACATCCATGGCTTCTGCGTGAAGCGTACGAGTCACCTGCACTTGTTGAACGGCTGCTAGTGAAAACGTTGCAAAGACTGTCTTGCTTCGGCGTACAGCAATTTGAGAGAACACGAGTACAAACGCTATTGCATTGTCTTACTTGCTTAGAGAGGAGAACGCAAACACGTAGCCGGAGCACATGCTGAAAACGTCACCATCCCAAAAATGTAACAAGGGCCAAAGTTTACGGCTTATCTTTCTTCTTCCAGCACTCCGAGTTCCTCTCCGTGTGCAGCAAGGGACGCAGAAGTACGCCGGCATTGCGATTATCACTTAATACCCGCCTCACGTCGATATGCCTTGCGTATACGTATACGTAAACACACGTGGACTGCGCCGCGCTCGAGCCTCTAACATGGTGGTGTGCACAGGGCGGCCGACAGATGGCAGCAATTCCGCCTAAGGTCTATTGTGAAGCATGTATACAGGACACGTGTGTTTGTTAAACATGAATGCTACTTTCGTTGAAATTTAAAGCAGAGGGAGTTATTTTCACTGTATTCACAAATAGAAAACTTGTACACAGTGTCTCACAAAGAGATTTACTATCTGGGCTTTTCCCGCCTTCGTTGTACCGTTCATTGTACTCCGATCCGCCAGGTCATGATGTGTCGAAACGAGTGCGCAAAATGGATGTCTCTCCAAATTGAAGAACATTTTTCTATAAACTGCATATTGAAACGCTGCCCACAAAAATATTGATTGATTTATATGTGGGGTTTAACGTCTCAAAACCACCATATAATTATGACAAATGCCGTAATGGAGGACTTCCGAAAATTTTGACCACTTAGTGTTCTTTAACGTGCATTCAAATCGGAGCACACTGGCTTACAGCGTTTTCGCCTCCACCAAAAATGCAGCCGCCGCAGCCGGGATTCGATCCCACGACCTGCGGGTAACCAATCGAGCACCTTAGCCACTAGACAACCGCGGCGGGGCCCCGTAAAAACATGGGTAAAAAGAAACGGTATTTTTGTTCCCTGCTTTGTCAGTTTCAAAGACGCTATATTGTTCTATGATGATTCTTACACTATACGCCATATTTTGCCCACGTACATCACTTGGCGAAGTGCCTTTCTATAAGTTTTTCCTCACAAGTATGCACAGCCTATGTAAGATTCATATGCAATGGTGGGTTCTGCGTTGCACGTGGAACCCATTATTTCTTCGAGCTCACTTTTAAATGGCTCTTCATCGAGAAGACATCATGTATGATGAAACGGACTTCAAGCTGGACTGGTATACCAGTCCAGTTTGAAGAACTCTCGCTGCTCTTCTGAACTTCGTTCCTCGTAGAGTCTTCCCTCTGTAATGCTAGAGTGCTTATTATCGCTGTGTGATTGTACTTATCTTCCATTCTATTATTGCAATTTTATGTTCATTCTAACGCGCATTGTCATACATAGCATGAAAGAAAAATTATAAAGGAGTGGCTGGGTGGCAGAACACCCGCTCACATAATTTTTGCCTTTTTTCAATAGTTGAAAAACCGTGAGCTAACAGATTAACAGTATTTCGTCAGAACTACCCGGCTTTTGGCCAATCCCTCAGCGTATCCGGGCGTGTGCCACAGTTTCCAGGCACTTCCTTCTTTCCTTCCTTCCTACCCGCTTGCCACTCAAACGGCCCGGGTTTGATCCCCACTCAAACACAGAATGTTTTATCATTTTATTAGCATCTTTCTCGATTTTTCGGTCATGCAAAGGTGCTCGATTTCTCGGTGACGCAAAGATAATTATTTGCTCACAACCAACGACGCCGACGCCGGAATTTCTGCAAAACGAGCTCTATAACGTTATTGTGTTAACAATTATAAAATCATGATGCACACAGTGGTCATCAGGCCCATTTAATTTGCTTACACCTTCGACAAAACAGCTATGAAAAAGACATTTCCTTTAAATATCCTACAATGAACTTTTTGGACAACGAACCGTCCTCAGAAAATTTTGCAGTAAAGGTGATTCTCCCAATGCCATCCTGATGACGTCCCGAGGACATCTTAAGAACCACGATGATGTATTATAGAGGATGTCCTCCAAACATCGCGTGCTTTCTGGAATTTGTTATTTTCTAACCTCCACGCTCTTCACGCTTAGAAAGCTAAATGCAGCCGTACGAGCTGCCTACGCCGCTACGCTAGGCTACAAAGCAGAGCTATAGGACCATATAAGACCATATAAAACTATATCTGTGCCTAAAACGATTTGATACATTTAGCATAAAACACTTTGATGTCTACTAGAGGGACGATTTTTATTATTGCCTACCCAATAGGTGGCAGAAAAAGCAGAAGCAGTGGCACGAAGTTGGCCGCAGGTGTTAGCAGGATCAGCGATGCCACCGACTTGCTGCTACTGTGCGATATCATGGGCGAGACAATGCACATGCCGAATCCGTCACACTGTCCGCGCCGGCCATGACAAAAGAAGTCCGAACGCTGGACGAACAGGCGGCCGTCGAGTGACTTGAGGCCGTGTTCGATGGCGGGCAGGCAGGCGCCGCGAGAGCCGTTTCGGCAGCAGATGTGACACTCTTCGTGGCCGAAGTGCCCATCGTCTTCGCACACGCAGTCCAACAGACCCCTGTCCTGGCAGGGGGTGGACTGGCACTTGCCGTTTCGGCAAGTTTTTTTGGTGCCACGGCACGGATATCCGTCAGCGCGTGCTGTCAACGCTCGGCACACGCCCTTGTCGTCGCACACACCCGACGCCATGCACTCGTTGAAAGGTCGACACGACGCGTTAGAAGCGGCGCGCAGCAGCGTCGCGCCGCAGTGGTCGCTGCAGCAGGCCGACGATCGCGGTGAACAAGTTGAACCACCGGCGCGTCGTACGGTGCATGGTAGGTCTCGCTGAGGCGGCAGCAGGGTCTCGTGAAGCGGCAGAGCCGACGGCGCCGGCGAACAGCAAGGGTCTAAGGTGTCGCAGGTGGCCTCGGAGCCACAGTCGCACTCCTCACCGGGCTCGATGATGCCATTGCCGCAGCGCGCGCCATCTTCGGCCAGGCAGGTGCCCTTGGCGCGCAGCACCTTACGCATGTCGCGAACCGAGCACGGTGAGAAGGCACGGTGGTTGGGAAGGGAGCCGTCCACAGAGTACTTGACCATGATGTAGAAGCCCGACTTGCCGATAGGGTGGCACGCCGGGTCGGCGGCTGGGTCATGCGGCGAGCCGAAGCTGTGGCCGATCTCGTGTGTCACCGTTCCGAACGAGACTCCATGCGGAACCCGCTTGCGGTTCGACGTGCTTGTCGTGATGGAGGCGATGTTAAAGCTATGTATGGTGTCCTGGTCGATGAAGCGCATAGGCAACTCACAAATTCCGCCCACGGGGCCCTCGGGGTCTGGGTTGGCCACGAACGAGATGCCCAGCGTGTTGCTTTCGAACGGACGGTGGGAGAAGCCAACGACCAGGCAGTGTCGCTGCACGTAGAACGAGAAGCTTGCCAGGTAGTCCTTGGCCGAGAGGTCTTCTTGGCCCAAGGGGTAGCCCTTGCTGCTGGGCTCGGCAAAGATGGTTACCTTCTCGGGAATGAGGCCCACGCGGAACGGTAGCTGAAAGTCGGTGTTACGGAAGACCAGATCGGCGTAATGCAAGTGCAGGATCATCTCCTGCACCACGAGATTGACATTACGGTTGCGCGATCGAAAGAACGAGTGGTCGGCCAGCAGCTCGACGCCGCAGACACGAAGCCCCGAGGACGGCCCGCTAGTCGAGGATGAGTGCATTCTCTGAGCGCTCATGCGCGTCAGGAGGTCTGCGTCGGCGAGCCGCTGCAGCTGCTTGGAGGGGCCAACGGCGGCGCGTGTCGTGTTCTGAAAACAGGCGCGCACGCCACCTTTCATGGTGACGCAGTCGGGTGCCATGACCTCCATACCGGAGTAGACGACGGCGTCGTAGTTCTGCTTCTCCAGGAAGAAGTTGTCGGCCGGCTCGACAAAATAGACGTTATTCTCAGTGCGTATGACGCCGTCGAAGACACCGTCACGGAAGTAGCCCATGACCTCAGACCGCGGGTTGTCCTCGAGGCGGCCAATGTAGAGGCTGTAGTCGGCCTCGTACGCAACTTTCGACACGCCGCTCGTGTTGTGCACGAACACTGGGATGCGGTTCACATGGCGCGGGTCTTCGGCCAGCGACAGGTTGAAGTGCTGGCCGTAGGCCATGAACGAGACCCGATAGCCACCCTGCGCATCGGCGGCCACGTCCATGGCGTCCACGCTGCGGGTGGGAGGCACGCTGAACGACTGCATGCGAACGCGTTCGAAGCGACTCACGAAATCGCTCAGCTCGCCGCCGCCGCGGTGCACGCACAGCGCTACTAGCAGCAGCCATGGTGGTAGTAGCTGCTGCTGCGACCGCCGCCCCCGGCCCATGTCGCCGCCCCGCCTGGCTACCTGCCTGCCCTTCTTTTTCTGCGGCGTGAAGATGGCTGCGTTGACGACGACGACGATGTGATATTCGACGATGATAGTAACCCACTATGAGGTTTTTGTAAAGTAGTAGTATATGAGTGACTAAAAAGCCATATACGGAGAGACTGCACGTATACCGTCTGGATGTGGTCACCGCCTTCCATAACACATTGCGTTGGACCGAAGGAAACGAACTAAAAATCTATAAGAAGGATGCAATTTTCAGCAAGTTGGTATATCATTCATTGTGAATAACGCGGAGACTATCGAGGAGCGATGGTGAAAGTCAGTAAGTCGATAAACTAGAACTCTTCAAGATCTCTCACCAATCGAGGACCAATGAGATACCGTGCTGAAGGTGAGCTGGATCGCTTACTCTGCTCTTTGTAGGTATGAAGGTAAGTGGCTACTAAATGTGCTCAAATAGAAGTTGATAGTAGCTAGTAAGTAGCGAAGGCGCCAGCCTGCAATTTTTGTAGGAAGATGGGGTTGTAAAGAAGTCAATTTCGTGCATCGTAGTCATCAACGGCAACCCCTTTTTCGTCATTTTCCTTTAGTTCCTTCTTTTTTTTTTTGGCTGCACCGCAATACGAGGGGTTTGCGAATAGGAAACTTGAGAACAGAATTGAATATGAATCGAATGGTGATCCCACTGATTCGAATACGAATAGTAATCGAATACAGTTCAAGTAGTTTTCGAATTTTAAGTTGACCACTTTCAGAACAATCTTGGAACACCACACACAACATTTTATTTGCTACAAATCTTCACAAACTCTTACCAAAGACTAATACAGTTAGTCCTGACTGAGTGAAAATGCCGCAATTATGAAAACTAGGGTAAGCCCGTATACAGCCTTCCTAATATTTTGTAACTGTAGGCTCAAATACAGAATTCACTAACGCTGTCAATGTGAGACATCGTCGCCCTATATTCAATAAAATTTGGACAGGAAAACTAAACAATGTTCAACCAAATATTGCGGCTACATGTAATGTAATTAAGCTGATCAACTTGTCAGCACAAGATGGGCTGCGCAGTGAAATCATGTAACGGCGTTTAAATCTACATATGCAATAACAATGTACGCAAACGCAATATTTTGTTAGCCATGAAGCTGCAAGCCATTGTTACAAGGTAAGACATGAGCTGAATATTGCGATAAATGTTCAGCATAGCGAAAAGTGAGCAAGAGTGGAGCTTTCAGAAGAAACACGCTCATCCGGCAGTCTGTATATTGTCGGTATAGTCCCGCGAAAGCTTGGGCTGCTCGCGGATCACTTTAGGCATTAAAGCAAGAATGACCTTCAGCTGTTACAAAGCATCATTTTATTGGAGTTCTCGCGTTGGTGCTAATTATTCGAAAGCTATTAAAAACACCCGATACTTCAAATGTTTTTGAATACGTATTATTCGATTCGAGTACCATATCTAATACAACCCTAGTCGATTCGTTATTTGAATTTTCGAATATTGGCATGCCCCTAGATAGTAACATTCTATATGATATGCCTAGACGCAGCAGCAAAGGAAGAAAAGTTCAGGACCGTGCCATGTATCGTGCGTTGTGGTTGTGAATACAAACCGCAAGAAAGCACGAGGGTTGGAATGGATGGGCCAGGGCATCTCGACATTTCTCACGTGTCGAAAAGTATGACGAAGTGCCACGACTGGTTGGAATAGCCTGAGCAGAGCACAGCTTGACGGATTGCACTTACAGCATTTTAATTCAGGAAGCGGAACTTAGTTACGCTTTCTCTGAGCTTCACAGGTTTTCACCGAGGTTTTCAAACGTTAGAGGGCCCCTTTAAATATTTGGTCACCCAGTTTGATAAAAACATATAAATAACTGACCGACATTCAGACACTACCAATAATAAGAATCGATAGCAAATAAGGAACGCGGCACTTCGAGAGCCCGAAACAAACCGAGTTGTTAATTTCTCTGTGTTCCCATGTTTCAGTTCCCAGGCGTGACGCTTCAATGCACAAAACAACATTCCTGCATCTCATCCCAGCATAGTGCTAATCTGCGTTCACAATGGTCCCTTTCATATGTTATAATCGCTTATCTAGAGGCAATAAGAAGAAATTAAACAATTTACGGGCCCCGCCACGGTAATCTAGTGGCTAAAGTACTCGGCTGCTGACTCGCAGGTCGCGGGATCGAATCCCGGCTGTGGCGGCTGCATTTCCGATGGAGGCGGAAATGTTGTAGGCCCGTGTGCTCAGATTTGGGTGCACGTTAAAGAACCCGAGGTGGTCGAAATTTCCGGAGCCCTCCACTAAGGTGCCTCTCATAATCATATGGTGGTTTTGGGACGTTAAACCGCAATCAACAAATTGCGGGCTATCACTTTTCAGACATAGCAAAGTTTTGCCACGCTAAGTCTTTGTAATGTCGTTGCGGGGTTTGTGGTAACATGGGTTCTTATTGTCACACCGAGGCGTCCATCAGGGCAAGTTGATGCAAGAAAGAAAGCCTCATATATGTGCTTACATTATTCACATTTCAGTTCACAGTCATGGCGCTCTCTGGTGCAACAGATTTAGTAACCAGGTTGGTGTCCACCCCGCTTTTCTTTCTCACTACGCGGTCACCCAGATTCCACCAATCCTGGGACATTGACATGGTCGTAACGATGCGCACACACCTGCACTTGAAAAGTGAATGTACCGTCAACCACGCACGAGTTTTGAATACCGACGAGAGAGAGAGAGAGAGAGAGAGATAAAGATGCAAGGAAAGGCAGGGAGGTTAACCAGACGCACATCCGGTTTGCTACCCTGCACTGGGGAAGGGATAAAGGGGGGAGAAGAGGTTGCAGAAAGATGAGAAGGTACACACAATCGCGAGCACACTCGGGGAGCACACACAGTCTACAGGCGGTCGCTCAGGTTTGTTGACTTGAGGTAAAGTAGCAATGCTTTTGTTGCTTTCTGCGCAACTGAGGCAGATGCCCAAGGTCCTAGTATCTTCTGCACACAAAATGGTCTGGAGTCAAGTCGATTTAAAACCATCTGGAGCTGGCATCGCTGTGTGTCGTAGCAAGCGCAGCTACACAGGACGTGTTCAATGGTCTCTTCAGCTCCGCAGTAGTCGCATGAAGAGGTGTCTGCCATACCAATGCGAAAGGAGTACACCTTTGTAAATGCAACACCCAACCAAAGGCGGCATAACAGTGTCGCATCGGAGCGGGAAATTTGTGATGGTAGCTTTAGCTTGAGCGAAGACGACGAAATTTCTAACTATCCGTTCGGGCATTAGGGCCTCGTTGACACCACGTTGTTAGCACTTGTTCGAGGATAATACACTTGGCCACTAATGACAAAAATGGCTGTTGGAGATTTTTAGCTGCTTTCTAGAGTGATAGGTTGAGTTCAACTCGTTAGTCAAAGAGGGCTACATGCCAATGTTGCGCGACAGTGCTATATTAAGACAATGGTCACCTTAATGACTAACATGATTGTTTGGCAATTTGGGTGTTTTTATAGTAACATAATTTATTAGTTAAGTGCTTCAAACTTGTAGAGAACATGAACAAATACAATGTTACTCGACACCACATAATGCACCAATAATTTCATACAAAACTGGTTTCTTGGCCCAAACTATCGTGTTCAAAACGACTCACTACGTCACAGAAATATAACAAATTTAAAGATTCGGTTAACAGCCAAGCCATTGCGAAGCTGCCGTTGCCATGCCGTCGTTCAGCTGCAGAGGTGCACGTTGAGAGCCTGTTCGGTGACATCCCAGGTCTTCAGTTGGAGCACTGGGTCCATCGCATGCTCATCTGGCATCGTCTCGCGACACTCCATGAAGTAGCGGCCTGTCCTGTGCGTCAACTTTGGCGACAGGCAAAGGTGGATGCTCGTCGGCGCACCCTCCAAGGGGGACTGTGTGCACGTCGGGCGGAGAAAATTTACATTTATATAAGTGTACAGCGGCTATCTGACGTCACGACGACCCATTGGTCGGACGTCATGACGGGATTTCTTTTTTTTTCTTTCTGCATCCTCCGCGTTGACGACAACTGCCGACTCTGGCGTTTGATGAGGCATCTTCGCCTTAACAATTCAAAGCTCACGTCGTACAGCAGTGCAAATCTCATAATTTGATCCTTATCTCTAATTTACAATTCTGATAAGGCGACAGCTTTCGATGCGTCATCAAATGCGGCAAGCGACCGTAGAAGGCGTTGGTGTCAATGCGATGTAAAATTAACAGTTGTTCCGTGTATGAATGCACCGATGAGCGAAGCTCCTGAAAAATGGGACGCAAACGACTTCGCACGTTTCTTTTCCTTTCTTTTTTCGCCGCGCGCATTTTTATTTTCTTTTTCGCCGTACTCGCGGAGTGTCTGCTGCTTGGTGGCGTGAGCGCAGGTTCGCCGGTTTGAGAGGAGAGGGCAGAGACGAAGAAAGAGGACGCGGGTAACTAACCTGTCTCCGATTTGCCTGCCTTCGTATTCTCGCGCTTTGAGCGTCGTGCAGACGCCATCCGCGTTCTAGCGCTCACAAAACTGATTTATCCTTCTGCGTGAAGGGGAGGAGCCACGGCTGGCACCATGCCACAGAGCACCGACGGCGACGGCGGGGAGTGGGCGTAAGAAGCATCACACCTAAAAAAAAAAAAGTCACCATGGCGCCGCAATCTATTCAGACAACCTGCCCCAACATGGGGACGTCTTCATATGACGTCATTGCTTGGTCAAAGTAGGGTCTATCCAGGAGGCATCAGAAAATCTCGCCGTTTGCGGGAACCTCGCGGGTGTGGTTGAGGGATCAATAAAGTCAGTTCGTACGAAAAAAAAAAAAAGTGACACTCACCGGTGAGCCGTCTTAGGCAAATTCGTAAGGGGAATTGCCACTTTTTACCATCACCAAGATGCGAATATCATTTCACATTGATAGTAGGACAATGACTATTTAATATTTGAAACCCGTTCGAAAAGTAAAGTCAAGAGTTTGGTGCAATCTCGCCTGGCGGGGCAATGACAAGAACGAAGGAAACACAGTGCCGACTGAAGTAAAAGTATGTTCCTTAAAAGAGGCGCTTCGGCTACCCATACGGGAGCTTCTTTTCTCTTAAAGAATATGTTTTTACTCTTGTCGGCGTTGTGTTTTCCATTCAAAAAGTATTCAATATACGATTCCATAAATTTGAAAAGGGAATCGCTGGCCACCTTTACGAACAAGAGTATGACGACGTATCCGAGGAACTTCGAGTAGTACGTGGTGACCGGCTCGCGGAAGAAGCGCGACCTGACCAGACTCGGGTGGAGTGCGTTGGCGGTGACCTGTTCGCCACGCAGCTTGTCGGCCAGCTCGCGGGCGAAGTACAGGTTGTACAGCTTGGAGAGACCATACGAGCGGCTGTGCGTGTAGTGGTGCTCGAGGAACGGGTCATCCGGTTTTAGGCGTGCCCAGGCGTGCGCCATGGACGAGACGATGACGACTCGCGACGGGGCCGAACACTTGAGCAGATCCAGCAAGAGGCTGGTGAGCAGCGCGTGTCCCAAGTGATTACTCTGCGTGGTCGTCTTTAATCCGTCCATGCTGAGTGTCCGCTTATAAGGCGCCGTGCGACCGGAATTGTTGACGAGCAAGTCGAGCTGCGACTCGCTGACGAGGATGTCGTTCACCCTGACTCCGCACCGAGGCCAGCGAGGAGAGGTCGAGATGCTTGAGCACGATGTCGCCGCCACCGCTCGCCTTAATCATGGAGGCGAGTGCTTGCTGGCCAACCTGTACACAGGCGTACGCACGGTACCACATTAGAAACAGAGGCGTAAAGAGAAAGCTCTTCATTGCCCGACGGCTAACTCTCACTCCCCTTTCCGGCCTCTTCCTCGCCTTTCAACATCTTCGGTTTCGTCACAAAAAAAAAAGCGAAATGAGGTCGACAACTCTCCTTCGATTGAAAGAGAATTAAGACAACGTCACTGTTGTGTCAGCTGACAGTCAGCGTTCTCTAACTTTTATCATTTATCAACGCAACCCAGCACTAGCAATCATTCAGCCAGGTGGAAGGACGACAGGTTGAGTCTCCCGGCCCTATCATAACCGAACTCGGCAGCCAGGACCTGTATAAGGCAGGCGGAGGAAGTTGTGCTTAGTCACTGGCTTCTCCGGCGTGCATGCGTACATACCCACTTGCATGTTGCTTGTGTTAGCGTGGTACATGTAAGAAAAGCGCACGGAACTAACGTATGGAAGATAGATGCTAATCTTCCGACTGTTTGTCTCACGCACTTCACGTTTAATTTAATCATGCACGAGAAAACCCAATTCATCATGTACGTGTTCTTAATCCCATGAATGTCACTTCTTTTTTCGACAAAGCAATTGATGGCGAGATCACACAGAAGTTTCGGTCGGTCGGTCGGTCGGTTACTGGGACCGACCGACCGACCGACCGACCGACCGACCGACCGACCGACCGACCGACCGACCGACCGACCGACCGACCGACCGACCGACCGACCGACCGACCGACCGACCGACCGACCGACCGACCGACCGACCGACCGACCGACCGACCGACCAAAACTTCTGTGTGAGCTCACCATCAATTGCTTTGTCGAAAAAGACGGTCGGTCGGTGGATATAGCAGTATTGGGAATATATTGAAAGTGCCTCCTCTGAGGCACTGTATAACGCTGCGTTTTTCACAGTTCTAAGGTGGCTGCACGTGATATTGTTGTTTACATGTGCAGCAGCGGCATTCATATCTAGTATAACTCGCTGTTGGGATAGTTGGTGCATGTTTGAATTAAATATTAGTCAATTTTGCGCCAAAATGACGACCACAGAGACAAAGAAACACATAAACGGGATGGGCACTCATTGCAATTGTTTATTTCTTGAGGAAACAGGCTGATATAAACCCACTTTTCGTCAAAGCATGTGCAACCTACTCGGGCTGTCCCTTACCTAATCACGCTATAGGACACATGATCGCTAGGTACCGTGCTTCCAGCTTATACATGATGAGTGGAGTTTTGCTAACGCAATTGATAACCCTTTTCTTTTGTGAAAGCCCATCAAAATGGCTCTTGGTGTGAATCCACATGAAGTGACATGTGCTCTTGAACGGGCACCGTCGTTATTCTTTGCCGTAAGGTCGTGTTCCCTCGCTCGATCGTTGACGCAGCGCCTCGTCGTCTGGCTAACATGTGTCTTTCTGCACGATAGGGGTATTTTGTAAATCACTTCAGTGGCAGACTTCGTGAATGGCCACGCATGCTTCTTTTTCAGCCTTTCAGCTGCTCAGCACGATTTCCAGCGATGCACCGGCGCAACTTTGCTAGTTTGTTAGGGCCACGAACTCCATCAGTACTTCATGCCAACTAGCCACCTTTTTAAGGCTGTAGGTATGAATATATGGTATATTATGAATATATGGTACAAACAGCTACTAGTGAGCACCCGTCCTGTCCATGTGTTTTCTTTGTGCGGTCGTTTCGTCGCAAAATTGTCTATTCAATTCAGGCATTCATGCCTATTTACAGCACATTTTTAATGTCTGTAGCACAATATTACATGCTATTTTCGTATTCATATTTGCATGTTCAAGAGAACAGCAGAGGCGGTGTCGTACCCAATGAAGTGATAACTTGCTTCAAGAGAACAGCAGCCGCTTGTGCTTTTAGCTGGAAGTGCCGCTTGTGCTTGTCCCTGAGTGTTTTTTTTACTCTGTGTGTGTATTATTTGTGGCCAAATCATGTCAGTAAGCTGGGCCAATTGTTTCAATTGGATAGAATTTCCTAATTTTGCACAAAACCTCCCAAGCAGCCCAACCAGCCTCAATTATTTCTCAGTATTGTTAATTTTATCAAGAAACAAAAAAATTCATTATACAACGTAAGTTTGTGAATCACCATCCAATTGATTTATGGGTGCAGTTTAATGTCCTAAAGCCACCATTTCATTATGAGACGCCTTAGGAGAGGGCTCCAGAAATTTCGGCCGCCTGGGGTCTTGTGCACCCAAATCTAAGCAAATGGGCCTACAGCATTTTCGCCTGCATGAAAAATGCAGCTGAGTACCTTCGCGACTAAACCATCGAGACGGAGCATCATAATCCAATCTAATACAAATGTGCCAACCGTAATGATAACTTTTATTTGACTATATTCTAACTTCACAGCAAAAGAAAAGAGTAGAACGATTTAAAAGAAAGTTCTCTCCCCCCCCCCCCTTTCTATGACGTCCATAACGCTTTTTATGTCGCTTTTGCCAGAGTACGCTTTCGCTCTGCGGAAAAGTGCTTTATGATTTGGAAGTGGCTACTAATACTCGCTGTCACAGGACACAAAATATTTTTCCCGATATTACTCTGCCATGCAGATGCCATTCAATAACGAGTACTAGTATGAGTGCTGGCCGTCTTTCAGAGTAATTTATGAGGTTTTTGCAGCCTTAAGGGACGATAAAGAAAATCGTATGCCACTTTTTTCTTTTCGCCACCCCCTTGAGCTCCTCCTTTACGAATATCTGGAATTTCTGGGTCGTCTGTCAAACAGTTTGACAAGCTCGGCAAATACTGCTGTGAGTTTTACCGCCGTGTTTTAGAGCGTCCCTTCACTAAATGCTTCACCTTGACTTGAGAAAATTGATTCCAGCGCAGTCTCTAGGCAGAGCAAGTCACCCAATATCAGGGATAATCTGCAGCGATTCTTGAGAAAGGCAGCGTCATTTTTAGACAAGCGGTGGCGCTGTGCTGAGCTAGTTCAAATGAAGGACGAGATTCGAGTCGAGGAGCGGTCGTAAATAGGGAGGTTAGCATTGTTTGCACTGTGGGACAGTTCAAGAGTGCTTTTATTGAAATAGATGCGCTCTCGTATATTTTGAATCAATTAGCGGATGTCAAATAAATTCTACATATATTTTTCCTTTTGTGTGATTCACTCTAATTTGTTTTACTACTGTAAAACTGGAGCCCCACCGTGGTGGTCTAGTGGCTAAGGTACTCGGCTGCTGACCCCCCGGTCGCGGGATCGAATCACGGCTGCGGTGGCTGCACTTCCGATGGAGGCAGAAACGCTGTAGGCCCGTGTGCTCAGATTTGGGTGCACGTTAAAGAACCACAGGTAGTCAAATTTTTCGGAGCCCTCCACTACGACGTTTCTCATAACCATATGGTGGTTTTGGGAAACCGGTCTTTTCGAACATAACCCCATACTTGCTGAGAGAGCTATTGAAACTCCGATCATCTAAGATCATCAGACGTGCGCAAAATCTGTGTGATGGGGGCACAACGTTTGCGTTGTGTGTTCGTGCCCACATTTGGACAACGTTCAGACTGTGCCCTCTCCAGTTGCATTGTGTGATGTCTTTGCCCGCCTTCGTGGGTAGACCACTTAGACCATCGAGCGCCGTATAGCTGAAGCTGTTGACAATGTACCTAGGGCTAAAAACGTGGCGCTATATAGGTGAGAGAGCTTTTCATATTTACTGTTCAGTTTTGCAGTTTGCAGTTCTCCAATAAACTCTTGATCGCTTGATTAGCTCTTTTTGACTTCTCAGCTACTAATCATGTAAATAAATCTCCGCCGTCTTTACGAGCACCTCATCTGACTTGTTGGACGGTGGGTCCTAGAACGGGGGCCCGCTACCAAAATGAGACCTTCTGGACTCGGAGTAGGAACAACTCACATATGGTCTCCTCTCACTTTACGTAACAATATGCTATATGATGCATAACAACTATGACAGCATTAGTGGAGACATCCCTGTTCATCCAACCTCGTTCCCCCTTTACGAGGTGGCCACCGAGCGCGTGTCATGTCATAGCGCCATGGTCGATTGTGATGCTTAATATAACAACAATATATAGGAAAAGAAATGTGTTTCACCTCTTTCTTCATTCCTACTGGAACCCGGTTTGTTGTCGTCGTGGAGTGCACCCAGTTATACCACTAAGTCAAGCTCGTACAAATGCGCAATGCCCGAATTTTCTGACCCATAGTTCCTGCCTACTCATGTTTTTGAAGTATTGTGCATGATGTCAACGTGCGACTGGTGGTAGGACCATAAAGTCCTTTTGAGCTGTGGCCGTTTCCAAACAGCCCATTTTAATGTTCTTGTTTGCCTTTAACTGTGACCGAAAGCCACTGTGGGGGATGGGCTGAGAATTGCGTGGTCTCCTAAAATGTAATGTAACATTAATATATGAAATGAGTAATATAGTCGCACAGTGAAAACAAATAATAACAAAGATATAGTAGGAAGAGACCACTTGCCGGGCAGTGGCTTTATGTGGTGTGTTGGAATCTAGGAAACGATCAACACTACAAGAGATAATGTTCGAATTCCTGGCGGGATCTTAATAATAATAATAATAATATAATAATAATAATAATAATAATAATAATAATAATAATAATAATAATAATAATAATAATAATAATAATAGTAATAATAATAATAATTATAATAATAATAATAATAATAATAATAATAATAATAATAATAATAATATTAATATGAATAATAATAATAATAATAATAATAATACCAATCATGTAAAGAACACGTGGTGTAGTTGTACTCACCAGTATAATCAAACTACTTTAAATGCAACGAACTTGATCGTGCGAGATGCGTTGCTAATATGCTGCAGAGGGCTCCCATTGTAGACCACGGGAGCGAACTTGGAGGACACTTGAGCGCCTCATTCAAGAGTAGAACCCGATAGCGTAATTGGACCCCGTGTGAGTGTAACATTGGCAGTTTCAAAGATATTTACTCATCATCAGCAGAAAAAGCATCAACAAGAGAACGGCTTCGTAGGTTCGCGTGTTGCCTTGCGGGCGCATAGTGGGCCCTTCACCAATTCGCAAAAGAAACAATTATGGCTCTGTGGTCATTTAAAGACTGTACTTGCAGTAGGCATTCAAAGATGCCTCGAAACGGACAATGTTACGCGCACAGTTGTCCGTTTCCTTGCAGTATGGTTGAGGCATGCACCGACAACTGAAGCCGGGCTATTAATTGAGAAACCGATTCACGCGGAGCCCGATTACGCTACTTCGTTCTGCTTTTGAAGGCGAAGCTCAAATGTCTTCCAAGTTTCTGGTCAAATTGTTGCCGTTATAAGCGATACTTGGCAGTCACTTGGCCCACCACATTTTAAGCTGGTAATGCTACGTTTCACA